GGAGAGGAGAAAGGTCAGAGGGTACAGGCTGTAGCATGTAGTTGATTCAGCTGTGAGGTACTGGGGGTCATGAAATGTGTGCGAAGAGCCTTTGTAGATTTAAGTTCAGTTGTTCCTGTATGTCTTTCCAAACCCTGCTCCTTCTCTAAAATGTCTCCTCTTGTCTATTATTTGCCTCTTTTCCTCTTATATTCCTCTGTTTATTTGATCTACTTACGTAACTCCCTTTCACTGGGCTGCATTGCCCCTCCTCTTCCTTTCCTCCTGCCGTCCTGCCTGTCCTAACAGCAGACCGTCCAAGTTAGTGTTTTGTTGTGTGCTGAATGTCTGTATGTATGTGGCTTTGTAGTCTGGCCGGTGGATGTTGACTGTATTTACAAAGCACTCTCTCTCTTGACCTTCTCTGTTTCTAGAATTCCATTTAGAGAGGACCCCCCTCCTGACATCATCCCACCCCCCTGAGCTGACAGGTCAGTGGCTCCTCGCTCCTCATTAGGTCCTGAGAGAAACAATAAGTTACTCAGCAGCAGAGTCAAAGGAAACTGCTGGAAAGAAAGCGAATAAGCGCATTTACCCAATTGTCAAACTGTGCCTTTAAGTTTCATGTAAACTGACTTGTTCTTTGATGCAAATAGCCAGGTAGTTAACAATGAACCTTTACTCAGGTGATAAAAAAGGCAACCATTGCAAGATGCTTTGAAGCTTCCTGCAGTTACTCCAGTCATGTTTTTTCAGCTGCTTAGAGAAGTGTGTCATCCTGTGACTCTACAAATGATCCTTTAACAAAGTGCTTTATCTTACCACTGGCGCTAAAAGTTCCTGGCAAAGATTTCCTCGTAAAAGCTGTTCACAAAGCTACTGGGAGCAACTTTTACTGAGAGAAGTCCTAAGCTAGGAGAAGGGGTGGGGTAAAAATGAAATGATTTTTTATTTTTATTTTTTTCAATTTAAAATTAAAGTGAAATAAAAAACAAAAAGTTTTTTCTCTTTCTCTATATAAAAAGTTGAATACATTTTTAAAAATAACAATTGAAAGAAAGCATTAAAATAAGAAATAAAAATTCTGTTGACATTAATTTGAAATACATAAAAAAAAAATTTGAATCAAATAAAAGAATGTAATTAAATTAGCAGCATCTGCGTAATTTATGAGCAGATCTTTACTGACTCAGTTGTCTTCTGTACTGCTCGTAGTTTCTCTCAGACACAGGTTAAAATGCTTTGAGAATTGCTCTTAGATCCAGAATTTAGGAATCATTAGGATTGACACTTCCCTTATTTACCTAACTCAGCCAGTTATTACTATAAGCCTTGTTTTGTGAATATGGCTGTACACCGCCATCTAGAGGCTGTGAATTGTATGTGCACCTTTGCTTGAAATTGTCGTCCTCCTTGTTTTTTTTATCGCAATCATTATTTTGTTCCAGCCTAAAGTCAGATTTCATTGTATGCAATATTATTGGTGCAGTCGTTTTTTTAGATTTTACCCTCTCCACTGGTTGGATTTAAATCAGATAACAGATGTTTGAGCTGTAGATTGTTACTCATGATCTGATGAGAGAGCAATCCACAATGAATGTCATCTGTGCAGTGATTTGGTCTGTTTGTAACCCTCAGCCATTCCCCTGACTGCATATGGACCAATGGCAGCAGCCGCAGCAGCAGTAGTTAGAGGTATGTGTGTGTGTGTGTGTGAGTGAGACATGCTGAGACAAAGGATGTGTGTACTTGTGTGTATGCTCGCCTTAGGTAGAATGTGTGTACAATTTCCAGCTTGGACAAATAAAAGAATATTTTTAGACCTGTATGTGTGCGCACGAGAAGCCCTCTAGTGCTGAAACCTGACTTGTCTCCTCTGTCTCTAAGGCTCCACCCCTTCACGCACAGCTGGTTTCCTGGGAACCAGCAGCCCTGGACCAATGGCTGAACTGTATGCTGCAGCCAATCAGGACTCAGGAGTCAGCAGCTACATCAGCGCCGCTAGTCCCGCCCCTAGCACAGGGTTTGGCCACGGTCTAGGGGTAGGTCACACATCCCCGCTAACCCGCACGCACTTGAACACATGCTTGGGTGCACATATTATTCACAAAGCTAATAGAAAGCGTATCCACTCTTCTCTGTGTATCCTCAGGGCCCTCTGATTGCTACTGCGTTCACTAATGGCTACCACTGAGAAGACTCAGGTCGCTGGAGATGGGAGGGCCTCTCCTCTGCTGATGAGCCAATCAACATGCTGGCTGCCCACTGATGGCACAGCCTGATTGGCTGGCTACAGGCTCTACCAGGCTTTCCCGGCTGCCTGTGGCTACACCCACCGACTGAATATCTTTTTAAATCCTGAACTCTGTTTTGCTGTACTAATCTCACTTCAACATAACGTCCCTGTCTTTCCTCTTTTGTCCTCATGTAGTTTAATAACTAGATCCTCCCCTTCTGTTATCCATTATTTTCTTTTGAAGCTGAGAAAAGAAAACTGCAAAAAGAAAAAAAAAATCTCTGAAGAAACGTTTGTCATCTTCGACAAAGACACAGAGGACTATTTTGAGTTTTTTTTTAATTATTGTTATTTTATTTCAATGTGATATGTCGTTTCATCATGAAATCCTTCAAAGCTGTTACTGATGTGAACAGAGAGAGAAAAAAGGCGTGTGAGATGGGTGTTTGTCTGAAAAAACATTTTTAAACGAAGGAAGAACAAAATCCAACAAAGCCCTTTTTTTAACTCGAGCATCACGGAAACATGAAAAAAAACTAAAATGTATATTTTGGTAGTCTTTAAAAACAAAACCTTTGTAATATTGTTATTAATATTGACATAATAATAATAATCTGTAAGGTATTTTATTCTGTAATTGGTTTTAAAGCAATGTTTTTATGTCTTCCTGTAAGATATTGTACATAGACGTTGGGATAAGGGGGGGGGGGGGTTGTTACTGAACCGGCTGGCATGTCATTGGTTGGTTTGGAAAGGGTTAACAGCAACTTGACTGGATGTCATCTACTACTATGTGTCACCTCACTACGTTTTATCAGTATGCATACGGTATATGTGTACGTTGTTGGCCAGTCCGCTCCAGATATGTTTCAGCGCAGCGCTGTCGACGATGGCTGTTGAGAAATAAAACTTCCAGGAGTCTGTCTGGCATATTCGTTCAGTTAAAATAAGACTTCTTTTACAAAGGCATCACTTTGTTTTGCTTTGCTTCTTGAAAAAAAGAGCAACTCTTGACTTTTATCATTTTAACACCGTGATGAACCAGATTTTTTTCATCTTCATGAAAACTACTTCAGATTAAGATGGTGGGCGACGGGAATAATCACAACCGTAAACAGGAGAAATCAGGGGTTCACAGGGCCGGGGGTTGACTTGACTTCCTCTTTTTTTGAAAATATTATATATTTTTTTGCGCGATTCACTTCTTAATGTTTTTGTTAATTGTTTTCTCTTTTATTTTTATTTTTTAATTTCTTTTATGCGGTGTGTTGTCCACCGTGAAAACAAATGAAGGACATTCTCAGAGAAGCAATTGTAGAAAACATCACAATCATGGTCTGTCCTCTTATCACTATTGAAGGTGCATGTGATTGCGTCTGAGTGTGTGTGAGTGAGTGTTTGTGCGCATACATCAAGGTGTAATATGGAACTACTTTTGGCAACGAAGGGGCATTTCGATTGCCTTTTTTTTTGCTTTTTGGTACTGAAAAACGAAGAAAAAAAAAAAAGATCGCCCTGTTCCATTTTGGCTCATCTGCTCCTCTCTCCCCTGCCTCCCTCCCATTTCATATTAGGTTTAATAAATTTGTGCTCCTCTGGAACCAACATATTGTTTATATACAGTTGCTGCTCCGTGTAGTGGTGAACAGAGGGGGCTTGGGCAGGGAAACAGAAATGGAACAGGGTCTCGCTCCCGGTCGGCTCTGATACAGGACCTCAGTGCAGACAACGCTGGCTGGCAGGAAAAGTCAAAAAGCTGGAACAAATTTAATGTTTTGCAAAAACAAGCAGCCTATTTGATGTTCAGCACAGCAGAAAACTTCCTGATCCAGCCAGACGCTCCTCTGTCAGACCGCCTGGGACACGACATAAAACTACTGCTGGACACCAACACTGTAACTTTTTAACTTACAATAAAGCAATAAGTTATTTTTTACCTTACAAATGAAAATACTACTATTATTGGTAATAGCAGACGGCGTGTGGATAATTCTGCGGCATTTAGACTTATTTTCAGAAAAAAAAAAAATAAACTATATTTTTCTGTTTTGAGATCTTGTTCCCCTTGTATATTGATTTTAATGATGTCTTTTGTTGTGATGTAAGGACAAGGGCCAATGCTTTGGATGGAGCTTGTAGCTCTACATGAGCTCAGTTAAAGTTTAAGATTTGGGCTGTCCCCTGCCAAGCTTTACAGTAATGCTTTTCTTTTTTCCTTGTTTTATTTTTCTGATAATTTCAATTTTAAAATCCTAATAAATTATTCTAAAGCATTTGATAGTGATTGCTTTTTTTGTTATTATACACTGACAATATGTGTAGACCTAACTGCAATGGCACGCAATCTGAGGTGCAAACGTTTTGCAAACCTGTTACTTGATCCACAGATCTCTCACATCAAACCGCATGTTAAACATACATACAGTGGATCATTTTCTTACTTTAATGTTACAGTCTTGAGATATTTTATGAAAACTCCCTAAAGGAGATAAATAGTAGTGTTATTAAGGCAGAAAATGTGCTGTTTGCCATATGCAGCCTGATAGTTTCAATAGTTTTCTTCTGTTTTAAATTGAAGTTCAGCACTTTCCAGCAAAAGAGACGGGTAGGCTACATGGTGCAGCAGAAGCTCTGACCCGTGTATATTGTAAATGATTTACTGTGTTAAATCCATTCATTCACGTTACATGACACTGAACTTTTGACAGGGATCATATCCACGTATCGGCATGTTCTGTAAGGTTCCAGCAGTGGTAAACAGAGTCTGATTCCTCACACTTCACCTCAGGACAGTGTCCTGGATGGAGGCCAGCAGGGTGAGTGATCCCTTCCTACCTCTCCCCTGCTCCCTCTCTCCCAACAAACTTAATTTTTACCCCCGGCTTTGAAAGAGGATTAGAACTAACACACAACAAATCTGACTCATCAACCAGACTTTTGAACTTCTGATTTCAAACTCAGTTTCAGACGTCGGACTTCAACTCCCCCAGGTTGGATTTGCGTCCTTTCAGGTCATATGTGCAGCTTTTTTGTAACTTTTCACCCTTTCTAATTTGGGTGTTTTTCACCACTGACTGTTTCATTGCTGTCAGGTACAATGGCTCTTGGAGTGCTTAATTCGCAAGTGAAAAGTTCCCTGAGTGGGAGTGCATTTTTTGACCGCGGTTCTATAGAGGAAAAGGAACCCCCACCTCCACTCCGTAGCTACCTTTGTTTGACTATTTTAACCTGCTTTTGTCCTGCATACCCCGTCAACATCGTGGCCCTGGTCTTCTCTATCATGGTGAGCATGGACTGTGTAGCTTGGCTTAAGCTGACAGCGTTTCCTCAATACATATCATTGTGTTTGCCATAAAGATGATGTACTGCTGTGTAGCGTTAAGGGAAAGATGTGTCAGAGAGAATACGGATTTGTTCTCTCTTCAGGGTGTTTAATGCGTTTCAGTTTTTGTGTTCGGACATGTTGTGTTGTCAGTACATTTGTTGGACACTAAGATGTAACCCAGACACACACACAGCTGTTCTGCCTGTCAAACAAACCTAACTTGATCTACCATTTTGGAAAAGGAAACTAAATGTCCATGTTGCAAACTGATATAAACATTCAGTTAGTGGGCAAAAAGTGAACCACTGTTAACACTTTTCCCAGACTGGTAACCAGTCTGCAGGCCTGCAAAGTTTTGTTTTACCAACATTTTAAAGAATAAAACTGAACCATTAAACCATGTGGCAAGGTCCACGCAAAACAAGATAGAAAACCCTCAGATAGCACTTTAAAGTTCCAAAAATGTGGTTAGTTTAAACTCATTATCTGCCACTCTTGGAGTAAAGGCATTAACTGATCAAATGCTCAGCAGGTTTGTTGTTGTCACAGTTTTTCACATTTGAGGTAAAATCCTCAAATTTATTGACATAGCTTTATGAGTAACAGTGATTTCTTATCCTCAGTCTAGGAACAGCTATTATCGTGGTGACTATGACGGGTCGAGGCGGCTGGGCAGGAGCGCTCTCTATGTTGCAGTTGCCTCCATCATCATCGGCCTTCTCATCATTGCCATCTCCTGCATCGTTCATTTTACCACTGTAAGACACATACCTAGGGCTGGAAATTATGACACTGTGGCAATGTGGTCAGAAAATATACCATGGCACAATATATATAAACTATTGTGCTATAAAATTACATTTTATGGGGTGGATTTTATCCATACATCTACACACACCTAATTCAAAGTGTGCTTTTAAATATCAGAATGTCACTGTCAAAATAATTTGATACCTTTCTGTACATTTATTGTCAAAAAATAAGGACCATAATCACAAGTATTAGTTGCCTATTTCAAAATAGTGTTTTTGTATTTTTAGTTATAATGAGAATAAAAGCGTATATTTTTCCATTATCTCCCTTTAGGGTTCCATATTTACATCACAAAGTGTCCATTTTTAAATACAAGACATAAAATAATCATATGAATAAATTGTGTAAAATATCCATTTTTGGCATGGCTTTCAATCCTGCCATTCTTCATAATAACTCTTTTATTTCAAGTAAAATCACTTTTCATGACAATTTTCACCACCCTCCCATTTAAATGACCCTATGCCTCTCTTAAGTTAACAAGCAACAACTGCTACCAAATTAAAAAAGTTAGCTCCTGTTACTTGAAAAACATCAATGCCATCCTTATTCTGAATCAACTATCTATTTACAACAGCAGCTAGACAGTCGATCCACAATTACTATGGCATTGCTGTTGCTCTAGCTAGCAGGTGCTACCTGATGGCAATTGTTGAGCTTGTTAACTTAAGGTGTAGGAAGGTGTGTGACTGGCTAATAGGTGAGAGGGTGGTCACAACACCACTGTCATTAAATATGGCATTATGAAATAAAATGTGTCATGAAATAAAAGTAAAATAAAAGGGCTGGCATAACATTCAGTATAGTTTGTGCCAAATATGCCATTGTGATATATGATGGAAAATACAGGACAGTAGAAGAGAATGGATGGGGAAAGCATAATCGTATATGAAATCTGTGATTAGTGTATTATTGTGCAAATAAAGTAAATAAGGGTACATTGTACATTTTATAATATGATTCATATCAACCATTAAAATTACTTTTAATGATGTTCTTTAATGTGAGAGTCCTTTGTTTAACTTCTGTTTGTGTTCCAGCTTGAGTTTTAGTGCTGTCGAAGTAGAGAGTGGGGCAGAAGAGAATAAGACACTTGAACTGAAACCTCTGGATGAAGAGGTCTGGATGGGCTCAGGTGGTTGTTTCGTATTGCACCATCTGCCAGTGAAAGGACTCGACTCATGTTTACTTCACTCTGTACGTCACTTCCTCTCATGCTGACTCTTCTTCATGTGGACAATCAAGGACTACAAAATCTGGTGAATGTATACGTTTCAGTTAATAATGTCAACAATGCTTTGAACTAAGAAGGCAGCTTTCTACAAATGTGTGGAGGAATTAAGAGTTTACAGCAAATTTTCGTTAGGCTGTCACCCCAATAAGAGAAAAATGTATAACAAATTCAATAACAAAAAGAAGAGTGATTGATTAATGGTTTTACAAAAGAAAAAGAAACAATAACCACATTTATGTTCTTAAGCTTTATTAGAAATATTCAGTAATGCCACTGATATCTTGTGCCACAGAATTAATATTCATTATTATTATTATTATTATTATTATTATTATAATGTTTCTGTCTTTGTTAACAATAATAAAATAACTTTGTACATGAGTTTGGTATTTTTCTCATCTAAAGCAACAGAGAATTTACAATATTTTAATCATTACTAGTTAGCCTAAACACATTTCTAGATCATTTCTTGCTGTTCAACAGAGTTTGTGTCTTAAGAATGGTCTGTCTTTGTTTCATTTTGTTCTATTATTCCTGCTTTACTGTAAAAAGGCATGTATCCAATTTAACAATAGGATTTAACACATGAATATCAATTTACTTTTGTAAAGAGTACAGATACTGAAAACGCTTGACTAATATCTTCTGTGGCTCTGAAAGTGAGACTAACCCTTAAAGGAAATGACAAATTCGTCCTCTTACAGATAAAAGGTTAGATGCATATACAATAAAACACACCTTTCTTCAATTCTATACAGTCAGAGTCATTTCACTGACTGTGTTACAATAGGTTTTAGCATTTAGCATGATCCCTGAATTGCTCAGCAATTAGTTGCTGTCATCAGGGTTATCTTGAATTTTTGCGTTTTTTCTTGAGACTTTTAAAGTATAACAGAAAGCCTGATTTACGAACTTGGGGGTGAGGTTTGGGATATGGGACTGAAAGGAGTATCTTGTCCGTTTCTGCTTCCGATTTTACGATTCTTTTTCAAATCCCCTAACTAAATTGTTGAAATGCCCCTACATACTAAAAACCTTTCTTGGCAACCGTAGGGAATGTATTTCATTTCATTCAGTTAATGTCAATGAGTTTGACTAATCCTGCTGTCACGTTATCTGACTAGTGCCATGCTGTTTCCTGCGTGGATTGCCATGATGCATGGCATAGCTCTAGACCGAGTAAACACAAACCAAAAGAACATATTACCTCTTGCCTTACACCCCATCCCTCTTTTTAATCTTTTATCTTTTAAATTGAAAATGAAGACTGAATGTACAATTATTAGAATTATTTACAGAAGCATGGCCCATTTGAAAGATTTCTTTTCAGCTCTCTTATGAACCACTTTTGAAGCATCAGCTACAACCTGCCTCGCTCGCAAATGTTCTTGTATTTTGATATGTCATAGTATATCCCAGACTAAATATAGATTTCCCCTCCGTACTGCAAGTTGGCCAGCACGTCACGTGGTCAAGTAGAACTCGCCCTGTTGCGAGGTAACTGAAACATGTGTGTTAAAAAAGGTGGGAGGAAATAAAGTGATGATTCAGATGCGATCTACAGGAGGGTCCTGATGCTGCATGTTCAACCTCATTTTTGACTTCATCTCAGTTATTTTCCCTGGTTGCTATTGAGCACCAACACTTCCAGATTGTTTTCACACCTCCTTGTGAACCTTAGGGATATACAAATTACACATACATGCTAAATACAGTGCACTGTTTGGCTATGTCACATGTGATTTGGAGAATGCACATTTCCCGTCAAACCAATCTTCTGTATGCAGGTGTAATTCAAATCAGTGCTTCTGAAGTAATGAGCCCGCAGCCAAGTTATTCTATTGCACTTGGACAAATTAGTTTTGGCAGTAATCTTGTACTATTATCACCCATTACTTGAAAGAGAAATGCAGCGTGTTTGTAGTGCAACCTCTTTGATGTCACACCAAAGCAAAACTCGAGAGAACAAGATGAAAAATGGAATAAGTGCAGGGATTAGGTGACTTGAAAGCACTTAGTAAGATTATCTAGGGATCAAGGTAGAGTTTGTGACAGGAAACTGATTACCTTACAATATAATGAAGCTCCTTTGTATTCAAAAATCCCCAAAACAAAATATATTAATATAGTTTTCATTCATACATTAAAAGCGCAATGCTTCATTCCAGCTTTGTGAGACTTTTCCTTCTGGGCCAGAATCATTAATTATATTCTTTTCCAGCTCGCATTCACAGCATCAGCTCACCTGGTGCTGGGCTGTTGTGTTGTTAGCTGCACTATAGCCAATACATTTGGAGAGCACTCCATGACTCACATGAAGCGTTCATAAATAGGCCACTCAAGCCAGCTGCTTCCATTAGCAACAGATAGAGCCTCCATGCGTACATATCCCATGACACATTCCTCCCAGGGAGCAGCAGCTTGATCCAGTTTGAATAAATGAAAGAGGATAACTGTGTGAATGATGCAGAGCAGGCAACAAAACATAAACATGCATTCACGTACCTGAAACCCACAAAGTCCCCAAGGATTCACTTTTCTTTCCTGTTTTCTTTTTTTGTCATTTTATTTCACCCAGTTTATTTTTCTAACAAAGATTGTGTTTCAGTTTTATTAATTACATTAATTGGTCATTTTGGGGCAATGGATATATAGTACATTGAAATATTATCACCTTTTGAATTACTTTGGCAAAAGCATTAGCAAACAGTAGCCCATTTACACAGCCAACAGATCTAGACAGTGTTGGGAAGGTTACTTTCTAAATGTAATAGGTTAACAACTATAAGTTGTAATAGTAGTGCAACTATTTCAATTACTTTTTCAAAGTAATGTAACTTATTACATTTAATTACTTTTTAATTACATTTCTAGATTTCTAATGAATGTTTTCAACCAACCAAGACAGCTAAAAAGGCGATTTAACTGGCAGACGGGTGGCGCTGCAAATTCAAACAGGATCAAAAACTTTACTAAAAGCCTGTGGCTGGAAAGGGCAAACAAGGACATTGTGGACATTTTCATAAAGGTAACTATAACCGATTACAGTACATTACATACATTTTTTTTAAATAAAATAAAATTGTAATTGAATTATATAACTAAATTACATATATCTAGGTACTTCCCAACACTGGATATAGAGCATCATTAGCTTTCATTAGCATTTCTTTGGAGTTGTGTTTGGGTCCGCCTGAGAAATAGAAGTTCAATATTTACTACTCTCCTTTTAGCTCTGTTTTTGTTCTCCACCGTTTCATGAGATAAATATCTGGCTCTTTAGCAGCTAAATTCTCCACTATGTTCACCTCCTAGCTGCCAGAGTAAACTAAAACAGTAAAGCGGCGGGCCAGAAAACCAAAACAATAAGCTTAAAGATGCTAAAACGCTCCGTAGAACCGCAGAGTTGTGTGTTAAATACCTGTGGGTTCATCACCATCCTAATAATGTTAATATAAAATATTGATAATAGCAATTTAACACTCAAGATTTCAATAGTGTTGTGTTAGCTACAGCATGTTCATTACAGTTATATTGTGTAATTTATGATTAAATATGGGGATCAAGAGGAAAACTCTACTACTACTAGTACTACTACTACTACTGTTTATTGTTGTTGATACAATGGGTCAGTGAATACCTTTCATAGTCACTTGACAAACTGTCATCACGTATTTGAAGCTGTCTGCCGTTGAGACTCTATTCACTCCGTTCCTAAATGTGTTGCCACAGTATTTTGATAGTAACGTCTAGACTGATATTGCTTATGCCGACCCATATCGTTGTCGACTTGAAGTGCCAACTACTGATATCATATTATAGACACTGATAGAAGTTTATCTGGACGGTTGTCAAGAGATCTGATTATTGTGCTACCAGGGCTGCCAACTTTTCAATTTAGTTTGGAGTGAGATTCGGTATTGGAGATTGGTTGATTTTAGGCCTTCTGTGTCATATCCCACCGCAGGGATCGGGGTCATCACTTTTTAATCCTCAGGAATTTTGTTTTAAAAGTTCAACAGCCACATGTAAGTGTAGATGAAAAGCCAAGTCAATAATCATGGTCAGATCAGTGTCATCAAGATACTTGCCAACCTCTAGACATGATAGCCTTAATTTTGACCAAACCTAACCATGTAAACCAGAGACTGTATTTCTTTTAATTCTAGAGAATGGATGGAATATTAAAGTTCATAATAAGCAAGAGCGTAGGTTTTCCTTTATCAGTGGATGAGGCAAATAACTAGGTGGGGGCTATGGGTAAGTGTTTAACTTAATTTCCTGCATTCTGGTGAAATTTTCTGCACCAATTTCTGCATCAATTTATGGTGGAAATGTTTTTAGGCTATGCCAACAGAAACACAAAACTCAGGCGACAATTTAAAATATAAAATATATCAGATATAATTCAGTAGGTGTATGGCTTTCAAGCGTTCTGTATTTCTTTTTCTTTCTTTCTTTCTTTCTTTCTTTCTTTCTTCCCTCTTCTCTCTGTCTTTGTTTGGGGAAGTTCCTCTTTAAATTTGGCACCTTTTCACCTCAAGGATAAATTAATTCATTTTAATTCAGTTAGAAACTCCTGGACTTGTATAGACGGGATTGTATAGATGAGACCTGTGCAAAACAAAACTAACTGAAAACACTTCACCACAAATCCTCACGTTAACTTTAGCAGCTGTGCAGCTCACGTTCCCAACAGAGCAAGGCTGTGCTTCAGATTATACATTTTTATATTGCAAAACCGTACCAGCTACGTTACCCGATCACAAACTGTCTGCCACTCACTGCGCGAGAGCGGGTTCGCTTGATTCAGTTAGGCTATAGGCTACATTAGTTTTTGCAATGAGGCGTGAGGCGTGAGGGTGTGTGAAAAGTGTAAAATTGCGTGAGTCTCACGCTCAATGTGTCAGAGTTGGCAGCTCTGTCTACTTTATAACAAAGAATCTCATTAGTCTCGGTGTTCTTTGCTCATGAAATGGTGCTATAAAAAATGTTCCACGCCTGAAATAAAATAAGGGATAAAATATTTTATAGTGATTATAGAATTTACTATCATTAATTAATAGAGAAATAATTAATAATGGAAAAGCTATAATTAATTGAGAAATAAGTTAAACTGTATTTTGCATTTAATTAAGAAATTAGATGCAGTTGGCTTATTTTTATAGTGGATTTCTTTAGCTTGAGCTTTTCCTTTCCTTTCCCTTAATTAATACATTTTAACTATCCACCCTATTGGAGTCACAGTCTATATTTGGAAATCACTGTATTGCAAAGAGTAACCTGTAAGAAATGTTATTTTCTGACGTAATGCAGTTTGTCCTCCATATGTCAGATATGACCTTTGAATACACACGTGGTAGAAAAATCATTGCCACAAACTGGGTCATGAATGTGGCTAATTAGAAAACGATGGATGATTTATTTTGTAGTCGATATTGTCGCAGCACAAATAATTGCTATTAATTTACTCTATATGGAGATCTATAGCTGTACATGAAGTGTGACGTGAGACAAATAAGACATAGCGTGTGCTGGACACCTAGGTGAGACGGACTGATTTTTGTTTGTGAATGAAATGTCCTGCAGTTCTTTAGATCTATTCTGAAACATTACACTTATCAACTTTTTGTGTGTGGGAGTGTTTCAGCTGGAAGAGTTGTTTCTAGCAGCCACCGATATCTGCATGCAAGCAGTGTACCAAGTGCTAAGATTACAAACACTGCAGTGTAAAAACAACCAGGCTTGTCTGTGGGAAGTAAAGGAGAACGAGAGAATGAATGGAAAATAACTGGGTCGTTGTTTATCCCGTATATTAATCAGAAACTAAGACATTAAAAGATGGGGGTGAGATGTGTTCATTAAAGGTTTATGTTTACATTTAGACAGGCAGTGGATTTTGTTCAGCAGACACACACAGTTGCTGGTTTATTTTAGGTTTGATATGATATTATGCAGAGTCCTGGGCCTGTGTGTTCTGTCCCAAAATGAAAGAGTAAATCTCTGGGATTTCAAAAGAAATTTGGTAATAATGAAACTCCATATGATGCTGTCGCTGAAATCAAATGAATCACAGCTGTCTAAGCAAAATCTTTTCATTTCAGTATTAAAGTAAATGAATAAATAAAAATAATAATACAAGAAACTATCAGTCTATCTTTACAGACACAACATGTCTAGAACTACATACATATGGAAGTCAAGACTGGCAATTATATTTTAGGGCATATTAAGCTTCACTGAAGATGGGTAAGTAAAGCACACACTAAAAACATAACACATTCAGGATATCTTAAGGAAACAGGTTATTCAAGACACAGGGTTAACCATTTTAATTTCCTAAACTTTTTCCTGAATTTTTCCTGTATTAAGTTACACCTTGATACAACCGTTGATCTATTTAATCTAAAGCTCATGTAGGATACTGACATTTCCATTTCAGCAATGACATCCTTCAATTTGTCAATTGACAGTTTGAAGGCTACAGATTAAATCCCGCGAGTCTCGCTGGTACTTGGAATATATTTCTTGCTGGACTATAAGCGACACACCTCTCAACAC